AGAGATTACCGTCACAATATATATATATATATATATATATATATATATATATATATATATATATATATATATATATATATATATATATATATATGGGAAGGGAAGCTGCCCTTTCTAGATGTAACAGTCATGGAAAAGAGCGGAGGTTTCCGCACTGCAGTCTACACTAAGGAAACGAACATAGGAATGTGCCTAAATGCCAACAGCGACTGCCCAGACAGGTACAAGAGGAGTGTTGTTAACGCATATGTCGACCGTGCTCTAAGCCACAGCTCAGAATGGAAGCAAGTCGACGAAGAACTCTGTAGGGTAAGGCAGGTCCTAGTCAACAACGGCTTCTCCAATGGTTTCGTCGAAGACATCATAAGATGGAAAGTGAAACGCCATGCAACCTCTGAAGAGACAACTAACACAACACCTATACCCCCTATTAGACTATTTTACAGGAACTTCTTTTCCACAGCTCATAAAACAGAGGAAAGAGTCCTGAAAGATATTGTTAATAGAAACGTTATCCCTACAGACAAAAATCAGAGGATACAACTGACGATTTACTATAAAACCAGAAAAACGGCCAGCCTACTCATGAGAAACTCTCCAGACACAAAGCAGAACGCTTTAAAAGAGACCAACGTCGTCTATGCCTTCAAATGCCCACTTGGGGACTGTAAGCTCCAAAAAACCCAGTATATAGGCAAGACAACAACATCTCTTTCTAGGCGTTTAACGATGCATAAGCAACAGGGCTCCATTAAGGAACATATAATCTCTTCCCACAACCAAACCATCGCCAGAGAAATCCTAGTAAACAACACAGAAATCATCGATAGATACAGTGATAGCAGGCGGCTTGACGTTTGCGAGGCACTACACATTAAGAAGTCAACACCAGCAATCAACAGCCAATTAATGCACAACTTTATTCTACCCACCTCAAGACTCCGCTCCAATATAGAAGCATCAAGAAATATGGACCAATAGGCTTTCTACAATCACTTCCATTTAAATACCCATTGTTTCGTGTTCTGTCTTGTGTTGATGAAATTAATTCCCTATTAATGCCACCTCTTGTTCTGTCTTGTGTTGATGAAATTAATACCCTATTAATGCCACCTCACCCCATCCACCTCACTCAAATGTAGATATAAACAAAATCGGAGATGTGTAAGTTCTATTCAGTTGTGTATTTGTAAACTAAAGTCTTTGAAAATGTAATAAGTTTTACGAAACGCGCTCGTGTCGCGTCAGACTAGAAATAAAAATGAATTTTGGAGAATTGATTTTTGAATTACCTCCAACAGTGAAAAGAAATGTACGAAAGATTGAGAAAATTCGTGTTAGAATTATTAATCTTACTTTTTCGGTCATATTTAATAATATATGTTTACAGGAAAGACTGCTACCAAAATATACTAATATATATATATATATATATATATATATATATATATATATATATATATATATATATATATATATATATATATGTCGTACCTAGTAGCCAGAACTCACTTTTCAGCCTACAATGCAAGGCCCGATTTGCCTAATAAGCCAAGTTTTCATGAATTAATATATTTTCTCTATTTTTTTTCTTATGAAATGATAAAGCAACCCATTTCATTATGTAAGAGGTCAATTTTTTTTTATTGGAGTTAAAATTAACGTAGATATATGACCGAACCTAACCAACCTTACCTAACCTAACCTAACCTATCTTTATAGGTTAGGTTAGGTTAGGTAGCCTAAAAAGTTAGGTTAGGTTAGGTTAGGTAGGTTAGGTAGTCGAAAAGCAATTAATTCATGAAAACTTGGCTTATTAGGCAAATCGGGCCTTGCATAGTAGGCTCAGAAGTGAGTTCTGGCTACTAGGTACGACATATATATATATATATATATATGTCGTACCTAGTAGCCAGATGCACTTCTCTGCCTACTATGCAAGGCCCGATTTGCCTAATAAGCCAAGTTTTCATGAATTAATTGGTTTTCGAATACCTAACCTAACCTAGGCTAACTTTTTCGTCTACCTAACCTAACCTAACTTATAAAGATAGGTTAGGTAGAGTTGGTTAGGTTCGGTCATATATCTACGTTAATTTTAACTCCAATAACAAAAAATTGACCTCATACGTAATGAAATGGGTAGCTTTATCATTTCATAAGAAAAAAATTTGAGAAAATATATTAATTCAGGAAAACTTGGCTTATTAGGCAAATCGGGCCTTGAACAGTAGGCCGAGAAGTGCATTCTGGCTACTAGGTACGACATATATATATATATATATATATATATATATATATATATATATATATATATATATATATGTATATATATATATATATATATATATATATACACACACATATGTCGTACCTAGTAGCCAGAACGCAGATTTTGGCCTACTATGCAAGGCCCGATTTGCCTAATAAGCCAAGTTTTCCGGAATTAATATACTTTCTCTAATTTTTTTCTTATGAAATGATAAAGCTACCCATTTCATTATGTATGAGGTCAATTTTTTTTTATTGGAGTTCAAATTAACGTAGATATATCACCGAACCTAACCAACCCTACCTAACCTATCTTTATAGGTTAGGTTAGGTAGTCGAAAAACAATTAATTAATGAAAACTTGGCTTATTAGGCAAATCAGGCCTTGCATAGTAGGCCAAGAAGTGCGTTCTGGCTACTAGCTACGACATATATATATATATATATATATATATATATATATATATATATATATATATATATATATATATATATATATATATACTTTCTAAGATGCTCACAATCTTTCAACAATATTAAATTAGAAGAGTATGACAGCTTGCTGAAATCAACACTGGAAAAAGCCCTCAATCTTTCCCTCAGCGACTCACAGTGGAAACAGGGCTCCCTTCCTGTCAGACTCGGGGGCCTTGGCGTGCGCACAGCAACACAAATTGCTGTACCAGCGTTCCTGTCCTCTTCAGTGGCGTCTGACAACTTGAAGGAAATCCTACCTGAGCACCTAGTTCAACAGGCAGGGATGCATGATCCCAGCTTCACAGACTGCACAACCAAATGGGTTTCTCTCGCAAGACCAGCACCCCAACCACCGCCTTCTGAAGCCCATAAGCAATCCAGCTGGGATCGCCCCATTGCCGACCAAGAAGCTGCAACTTTGCTAGGAGCTGCGACAACACCACATGACACTGCCCGACTAAGAGCTGTAGCAGCTCCCCATGCAGGTGATTTTCTATTAGCAACCCCAATGTCAGCAACCGGCACCCGTCTCACACCGCAGGCCCTCCGAATTGCCGTGGCTCTCCGCCTCGCTGCCCCAATCCACACCGAATACAGGTGTATTTGCGGCGAGGCAGAGGCCGACAGATATGGACGGCATGGCCTTCTCTGCCAAAGAACGGGAGGATGGCATGCAAGACACGGCGAGGTTAATGACATTATTAAGAGAAGCCTTACCACAGCCGGTTGTCCAGCAGAGAGAGAGCCCCGTTACCTAATGTCCCGCAACTCTGATGAGCCTGTCGGTCGCCCAGACGGAATTACGGTGAACCCCTGGAAGAATGGTAGACAGTTGGTGTGGGACTGCACTTGCGTTTCAACTTTAGCCAATACCTATGTTGACTTCAGTGCTACACAAGCAGGAGGAGCTGCCAATCACCGGGAAGCGGCCAAGTCACGTAAATACAGAGACCTTGAGCACCACTACAATTTTGTCCCCATTGCCTCAGACACGGTGCCTGGGGTAAAAGTGCTGCTAGCTTTTTGAAGGAGTTGGGGTCTATGTTAATCGAAACAACTAGAGACCCTAGAGCTGCCAGTTTTCTTTTTCAGCGCCTTAGTATGGCAATCCAGAGAGGAAATGCTCACTGCATCCACGGTTCCTGCCCGCCATCTGAGGAGCTGGAGGAGCTGTTCAACTTGTGACAAGCAGCCTTGTACCCTGCATGTAATCAATATTGTAACTTTTTTTGTGTAATGACATTTTCAAATAACGTTAGATAAATATACATATCAAAAGAATTACTTACCACTTACCAAAAGAATAGGGGTGGTAGGAGAAGAAAATATCAAAGTGTTCAGTGAGGATCCACAAGGTCTTCTCTGAGTACTCTTTATTTTCTTCTCCGAGGCTATGGGTCCCTACACTTGCACCAGAGGTGGTACCCCTACTAGGTTTAAAAAAAATATATATATATATATATATATATATATATATATATATATATATATATATATATATATATATATATATATACTGAAAAAAGAATGAGGGGAATTTATTAAACTCACACAACCTTAGGTAAAATTATGTTGCGATTTTTTAAAGTTATCTTTATTCGTCAAGATGTAAGTTGAGAGCAGTTGTACATGATCGATTAAAATTTTGTTCTTATAGTGGACTTCGAGGTATTCAGATGATAGTGCAGCTCAAAATATGTATCCTCCTTCGTAAACAACGGCACCACATTCGCAGTCATCCACGATTTCTTGAATATTCAAGATAAGATTCCACAAGCTGATGTTTCCATTATTTAAGAACCCTGCCTAATACTTCGTCTTGTTCTGGAAACTTGTAAAGAACTTCTTTTCAGTTAAATACTAAACTTTTCTAGATTTCATCATTACTATTTAAATAGATGACTTCAGCCGCCCGATTAATATGAAGATTTTCTCTGGTAAACAGAGAGATGAAGTATTTATTTAAATACCAACCATTCTCTGGCTATCACGTACAGATTCCAATGTTTAATGTGCATCAATATGGAGATTATTACATATATGTCAATATGATTTTGTGATACAATTTTTTATGTATAGACTTTAAGAGCTGATAGTAATATAAAAAAAAATGTATAATTGTATTATTAAGTGAAGCCCAAAAATTCACAAAATTAACGTGTTTTCTTAGTTTTGTTAAGAACTGCTAACATTAATTAGTATATTTGTAAATTAGGATATATACTTTTACAAACATCATTTATATATTGCAGGTACCACACTGGGGTCAGAGTTTACCACGGAGTTGAAGAAATTGGAGACACTCGTGAAAACATCATTCAGGCAGCTTTGTGATTCACAACTAACTCTCATTCAGTTCCAAGTTCAAGTTTTAAATAAAGCGAACTTGGTTCTCGAACAAACTCAAAAGATTCCAGAGTACAACAACAGTCAGATATCAAAGAAAGTCAAATTTGTGGTGAAGCGCGTCATGCAACAGAATCTCCGCATAGCTCCACAGATGATGCAAGAAGTTACCTGTGAGCTTCAACGACTGTCAGTTCTGCCAGTCTTCTGGAGTCTAACAGAAAGATATACTCAGATTCCAAATGTGAGTCTAAGTTTTATATGCAGTGAAATATTGATGCTGTTGGAGCCTACTGCCAAGTTTGACAGTGAAAGAGAAACAAAAATCAGAGGCCTCTTGAAAGAGAGTGAAGAGTACATCGGTGGACTTGGGATCACCAAGCTGGAGAGACTGCAGGTAGTGAGAGCTATGGGACTCAAGCAGGGACATTGGTACAAGTGTCCTAAAGGTCACATTTACTGTATAACTGAATGTGGAGGAGCCATGGAAAAGAGCAAATGTCCTGACTGTGGCTTAGCTATTGGCGGTAGAAGTCATCAACTTCTAGCTGACAATGCACTAGCTTCAGAGATGGATGGGGCTCAGTACAGTGCGTGGTCAGAACAAAATAACATGGCAAATTATGATATTCCAGACATGGAATAGTTATTCAAAAAAGGCATTTGCAAATTTTTCGTTATAATAAAAAAATAGTTGCTTTCTAATGTATATGTTATACAACTATGTCTTCTTGTCTGTCTGTCTGCCTATGGTTCGAGGTCACACGCTTGTGGTTAGCCACACTCAACTTTGCATCGAAAACGGTTTGAGGTACTGGACGAACATCGGCTGGTTGGGGTCGGGTTAAGTTAGATTCTTCAAGAAATATCTACCTCTTGGTGGTCAAGAGGCAGATGGCACGTGGCACTTGGTACTCAAACACCAAGTGGTACAAGGGAGCACTTGAGACAAAGGTTAAAGTAGGAGCACATTGAGCAACACAACCATTACAAACGTCAAATTTGAGACAGAGGAAGTGCCGTTGGGATCGTTACAGTGGGTGGAGGGTGAGAGTATGGTGGGTGGAGGGTGATGGTATGGTGGGTGGAGGGTGAGAGTATGGTGGGTGGAGGGTGAGAGTATGGTGGGTGGAGGGTGAGAGTATGGTAGGTGGAGGGTGAGAGTATGGTGGGTGGAGGGTGAGAGTATGGTGGGTGGAGGATGATGATATGGTGGGTGGAGGGTAAGAGTATGGTGGGTGGATGGTGGGAGTATGGTGGGTGGAGGGTGAGAGTATGGTGGGTGGAGGGTGAGAGTATGGTGGGTGGAGGGTGAGAGTATGGTGGGTGGACGGAGGGAGTATGGTGGGTGGAGGGTGAGAGTATGGTGGGTGGAGGGTGAGAGTATGGTGGGTGGAGGGTGAGAGCATGGTGGGTGGAGGGTGATGGTATGGTGGGTGGAGGGTGAGAGTATGGTGGGTGGAGGGGGAGAGTATGGTGGGTGGAGGGTGAGAGTATGGTGGGTGGAGGGTGAGAGTATGGTGGGTGGAGGGGGAGAGTATGGTGGGTGGAGGGTGAGAGTATGGTGGGTGGAGGGTGAGAGTATGGAGGGTGGAGGGTGATGGTATGGTGGGTGGAGGGTGATGGTATGGTGGGTGGAGAGTGTGAGTATGGTGGGTGGAGGGTGAGAGTATGGTGGGTGGAGGGTGAGAGTATGGTGGGTGGAGGGGGAGAGTATGGTGGGTGGAGGATGAGAGTATGGTGGGTGGAGGGTGATGGTATGGTGGGTGGAGGGTGATGGTATGGTGGGTGGAGAGTGTGAGTATGGTGGGTGGAGGGTGAGAGTATGGTGGGTGGAGAGTGTGAGTATGGTGGGTGGAGGGTGATGGTATGGTGGGTAGAGGGTGATGGTATGGTGGGTGGAGGGTAATGGTATGGTGGGTGGAGGGTGATGGTATGGTGGGTAGAGGGTGAGGGTATGGTGGGTGGAGGGTGATGGTATGATGGGTGGAGGGTGATGGTATGGTGGGTAGAGGGTAATGGTATGGTGGGTGGAGGGTGATGGTATGGTGGGTGGAGGGTGTGAGTATGGTGGGTGGAGGGGAAGAGTATGGTGGGTGGAGGGGGAGAGTATGGTGGGTGGAGGGGGAGAGTATGGTGGGTGGAGGGTGATGGTATGGTGGGGGAGGGTAATGGTATGGTGGGTGGAGGGTGATGGTATGGTGGGTGGAGGGGGAGAGTATGGTGGGTGGAGGGGAGGAGTATGGTGGGTGGAGGGGAGAGTATGGTGGGTGGAGGGTGAGAGTATGGTGCGTGGAGGGTGAGAATACGGTGGGTGGAGGGTGAGAATATGGTGGGTGGAGGGTGAGAATATTGGTGGGTGGAGGGTGAGAATATGGTGGGTGGAGGGTGAGAATATGGTGGGTGGAGGGTGATGGTATGGTGGGTGGAGGGTGAGAGTATGGTGGGTGGAGGGTGAGAATATGATGGGTGGAGGGTGAGAATATGATGGGTGGAGGGTGAGAATATGGTGGGTGGAAGGTGATGGTATGGTGGGTGGAGGGTGATGGTATGGTGGGTGGAGAGTGTGAGTATGGTGGGTGGAGGGTGAGAGTATGGTGGGTGGAGAGTGTGAGTATGGTGGGTGGAGGGTGATGGTATGGTGGGTAGAGGGTGATGGTATGGTGGGTGAAGGGTAATGGTATGGTGGGTGGAGGGTGAGAATATGGTGGGTGAAGGGTGAGAATATGGTGGGTGGAGGTAAGAGTATGGTGGGTGGAGGGTGAGAATATGGTGGGTAGAGGGTAAGAGTATGGTGGGTGGAGGGTGTGAGTATGGTCCGTGGAGGGTGAGAGTATGGTGGGTGGAGGGTGTGAGTATAGTGGGTGGAGGGTGATGGTATGGTGGGTGGAGGGTGAGAATATGGTGGGTGGAGGGTGAGAATATGATGAGTGGAGGGTGAGAGTATGGTGGGTGGAGGGTGAGAATATGGTGGGTGGAGGGTGAGAATATGGTGGGTGGAGGGTGATGGTATGGTGGGTGGAGGGTGAGAATATGGTGGGTGGAGGGTGAGAATATGGTGGGTGGAGGGTGAGAATATGGTGGGTGGAGGGTGAGAATATGGTGGGTGGAGGGTGAGAATATGGTGGGTGGAGGGTGTTATGAATCAATAATACTTAATTCTGACATTGATCATGATAAAGTATTTATGTTCCATATTCTTTCCTCAGTTATTGGGAGATTAACATTATGTCAATTTGTTATCTAGTATATATGGTTTGAGATAATTGTAGCATGCTGTAGCGTGCTTGTAGGAGTTATTTCTTTGTTATTGTTGCATGTTTATTCATGTGTGTGTGAAGACAGTGGCATCTAATAGGGGTAATGCCCTTATATAGTCTCCACTGATGTGCCAGTGTATCCAACTTAGCGTCACTGATTCACCCCTATAATTCTTCAGTGCTCTTGTATGTACATTTCTTTTAATTGCACCTCAGTAGTGTTTAATGTATATTATAGTACTTATAAATATGTTCATAAGTATTACTCTCAGATAGCAGAGTATCTTGAGATTTCATGTGGTCCTTTGTTGGTAATGTGTAGACGCCACCGAGGAAGGCGTCTAGACGAGTTAGTCGCGTGGGTGGAACGGGCTGGAGAGGATCTGTATTATAATAGATAAGTCTGTGGAACTTGTTTTTGCTCAATTAACATATCTATGTATCTGGTAGATTTATATTAGTAAATCCATTTATTCATACACAATTGATCAGTGCTCATTATGTGTGATTACACCTCATTATTACAGTTAAACATTTCTGGAGACACCTAATGCTTGAATTTTATGTTATTGTTTGTTACCCCTTCATGAAGTATATTGATGTGTTTGTGAAACAGTCGTTTTCCTTCATCCCTAGCCCTTAAACTGCGCAACGCGCCTGCAGGCTCACGTCTGGTTTCCGCAACGCGCCTCCAGGTATTTGTATTTTTCACGTTCCATTCAAAACTCCCGCGGCTACATGTGGTTCACATCAGCTTCCTCAGAGCTCTTGTAAACTGACGCCATCTTTAAAAAAAGGGGTTCCCTCTTCCTTACTATATCACAGTGTACACAAGGTCACTCACCGTAGCCCTGCGGGTCTTCACTCAATCCTCGCGGTGCCACTGAACGCCCGGAGAGTATCCCAGTCAATCCCCGGCCAGCCTCTTAAGCCAGAGATGAGTGCGAACACAGTTTGCACTCTCAACCGTGTGCCCGCTCCGACAAGGGCTCTACTACTAACCACAAGGTCGCCAACTGGTGTTTCCCGTGTCCAGTAACACGTCAGTGGTATTGTGGAATTGTGGTAACAGTGGCAAGAGCACACTCAATAGATCTGATAACAGGCAGTTATTTATTTCTATCACTCTATCTCCTTTCAAGTATTATATAGCCACAAGAAATATGGAGGGGATGATACAAACGCGAAGGTATTTTGATATTTTACTTAAAACTCAATATATCATATTCTTATATCAACAAGCAAACAGCTAGTTCATGCAAAAGTCGCTTGCTCTCCACATATAATCAGGAACACACCAAGATGACAATGCTCCCCCACACGTCAACGTCAAAATCAGCTGGGCGACTCCCCCCTCACTGCGTGATCTCTTACTGCACTTGTTTGTTGGCGTTATGCGCCTGTTTCTTTAAATTCTCAAGAGTCACTAAATGTTCAAACAACACAATATTTGCAACAATGGCAATAGAACGCAAATGATTCACTGCACTGATCTTGAGCTCAATCAAACATTTCTATATTAATGAACATAATAATTCACTATAATGGCGTAACACACTTTACTTCATATAATGATAACAAATGCAACAAGATATAGTACTGGAGTTCTCAGTAATTCCTTTTGTAGGTGAATATTCAATTGATCACTGCACCCATTAGAAATTATTCACACACAAGCACATATATATATATAAATAAATCATAGATATCAATAATAGTAATAATATAAATACTGGGCACATAGCCTAACACCAATAACTGGTACACTTTTATATATATATATATATATATATATATATATATATATATATATATATATATATATATATATATATATATATATATATATATATATATATATATATATATATATTCTCTCTCTAAGTTATCATAGTAAAGTCACATGAAAGAAATTATCGAGATAGTAAATTCTTCAATCATCCCAGGTGCCTGCACACACCACATATAATAAATATCGTGAGTGCTCTATACAGCCTCACTCTGCACCACTGTGCCTTACTGTGACATAGACCTAGGTGAGACTTGCTCACAACATGAAAGATACTCTGGCTAAATATATAGCTGACTAAAGGGGAATTGGGAGGGATACTAGAATCACCTACTTCCACCTGTCCTCTGTTGAGAGTTGAGTTGTAGCTCCTGGTCCAGGTTCTCGCCTCGTGTAGGGAACGCCCCCACACGCACACTGATGTGTCCTCCAGGAACCCAATCAACGTCCCAAAATAAACGCGTCGTCACTGTGTCGTAGTCTGCAAGTCCGTGCTCCTCCTCAACGTCTTGTAGGGTTGGAGTCGGTTTCCCGGCCGTCAGCATCTCCTCCCAACTAGGGCTGCCAACCTACTTCTCGGCTGCAGTCGTACGGATTCCCAATTAGTATCTTCTTTCAATGCTTCCCAGTGGATTGGCCCAGCCGCTACGTCGTCACTGTGAAGCTATCAGACGTCCCAGACGATACTGCCTAGACTTCACCTGCACAGCACCCGACCCTGGAGCACTTGATGCTCAATATTCCGTCAATTCCCTCTTCGGTCCACACATGGAATGAAAGAAGACCTCTCGGCGTACTTGCAGACTACGGGTGACGCGTAAGATCCACAGGATCGGGGAACAACTGTCAAACTGACAGGACCCCCCCACCGCACATCCAACCTCCTTGACGTGCTGTCTCAGACTGGTCGCGCCACCGCGGTGCAATGACCGGACCCCCTTCCTTCGTGACGTCATACTTGCCAAGAGAG